TAATATGAAAAATGAAGTCTTATGGTTGAACAATTAATCTATTTTTTCCTTTTAATTCTTTTAGTAACATAAATCATGGCAATTATAAAACCTAAGATTAAAGTTATACCTGCTATTCATAGCCCAATAGATTTACCATCAAAATTTTCTTCATTCTTTGAAATATTGTTTTTATATTCCTCTGCAGCTTTGGCAAAATCTTCATCTTTTAAATCTGAGATGGTATTTTTAAGTTGTTAGATATTGGGAGCTTGAGTATTTCTATTATGTTTATAATCAGGCATTACATAATTTTTTTTTGAACCAAAATTTTTTACAGTATTTTCAATAATCACATGATTATCATTAATAAAAATATCAAAATCTGGACAATTTTCTTTAATTCATTCTCAGCGAGGGGGGAAATTTCTTTCATTAGGGTTATTTCTTGTTATTTTATAAATTTTTATTTTAGTTTGTGGAAATTTAGCAAAAGTTCTTTAAAAGATTCCAATTTTTCTTAAACAAATTTTCACAGGGTGAAAATTTGTTTTGTTGTAAGGATAGTTACCTTATGATGAAAGTAATGTATCAGAAATTTTTTATTAGTGATCTTCAAAAATTTGCCTGGGAATTTTCTGCAGTTGTCACATGAATCACGAATTAATACTTGTTAATAGCAGTACAGTAGTAATGACATTGATATGATTTTAAATATTTTTATTATGTTAATTTTTGAAAAAAAAACCACAAAAATACCATAAACATTTTAAAATTCCTTTTTTTTTAATTAATAAAGTACCAAAATGCAAAAAATATTAAATTTTATATAAAAGTGAACAAGGAATTATGAAATTTTATGTATTTATTATGTAGTATTTTACATAATTAACAAATAACATCATTTACAAACTTTTGTCTGGGTAGTATATATATAATAAAAAATGCCTAATTTACATATATTTAAAGGAATGTAACCAAAATGATTTGGCTTTTAAAAATACAATTCTATAAAGTTCTATAATGGTTGAAGAGGATTTTTTGTTTTTTGTTTTAGATGGATGAGTATGAAAAAAAATTAACAATACTTCACTTATTGTGCTTACTATATAGGGTTGGTATGGTATTGTAACAACGAAATTGCTGATCATACCATACCATCTGCACAAATCATAACCATACTTAACGTCTATATACTTGTATTAATATTTCAGGGATCACATGAACATTATATATTTGGTGTCAAATGTTGTGTATGTAGTATGACCAAAAGTATTATTTCAAATGATAATTGACAGAGTTGTCATTATTACTATTACTACTAATAGTATCAATGTTTATTTTATTATTTCTAAATCAATTGTGATTTTTTTTTATAATATATTTCTAATTATTAACATTTTAACTTTAAAAAAAAAGCAATAAAAAAAATTTTTTTTTATTCTAAAGAAAATATATTTATAAAAATATGCATTCAGTTAATTATTTATGCTGCCATATAATTTTATCACCTTACAAACAATTATTCCAGTAATGTTCACATATCATTAGACAATTTACACCTTCCCAGTAATGAATGAATATGTCAGTATTCTTTATTTTTTTTCTGCTCTTGGTGGTGTTGTTGGTGTTGACATTTTATGATTATTGCTTTTTGGAAGTGTTGAGGAAACATCTATATCAATATTTATTTTATTATACCAAAGATTTCTAATCATGCCCTAAATCAAAATGATAAATAATTAATTAATAGCAAATAATGTGAGACCTCTAGTTTTCATAAATTAACACTACAAATAAATTTACTCTTAGATTCCATGCCCACGAAAGTACTGATCTAAGTTGTCTATATGATGAAAATTGGGTTGGCAGCTCTAATCTTTTTAAAAGGTGCAACCTATACACCACCTGCATTTCCATTAAATAAATTCTAATTTCGTTTGTATACACCTAAATTTAAGGCTCCTAACAGATCAGATCAGATCTGATCTGACCTGACCTGACCTGATCTGAAATCTGATCTGAAATCCGATCTGATCTGTTTGATCTGTTTGATCTGTATATATACAAATTTATGATACCTATTAATATCCTTTATTGAAAAAATCCAATAATATAATAATGATAAATTTCTTTGCATAAAAATACCTTTCAAATGTTTTTAATGATGGTCTTAGTGATAATTTTAATGATTCTTATTAACAATTTTCTTTATTGCATGTGCCTCAAAATTTGGTTAAAAGGGGTATTAAAAAGTTGAAAAAAATTTTGTTTTTTCTATTTTTATGTAAAAAAAAATTATATTTTTTATATTATCTTTATGCAAAATAAATAAGCACAAAATTAAGCAAATTAAAGTTAATTTCCAAATATGATATTAATATCATATTTTGTGTTGTGTCAAAATATAAATTGATGTGACAAAAAATTATTGATCTGAAATCTGATCTGATCTGATCTGATCTGATCTGGTTTTGATCTGATCTGTTCGGAGCCTTACCTAAATTGAAATAGAATTAAGGGAAGTTTGTCATTTCTTTGCACTCAAGTCAACCAGCAATTAACAGAATTAGCTTTAAAACTCATATTTACCTCAAATCCTAATGTATATAAATTTTGTTCTGAATCAAATTTATTTATCATATGACTCAACATGTCTTTTAAACCTCGTATTAGATCAAATTCATCATTTGACAACTTGGTTAAATCAGTGTAAGATGCACTTCCACACACATAACCACAAAAGACTTCATAAGTACCAGCAATACATAAAATATCCATCTGATGGCCACGTTTTACTTGTTGTTCCATAACATTAACTGATGAATTCTTTCGTTCTTGACTGGTTTTGGAAGTTACTTCTCCCCTAAAAATATTCCATAAAATTTAATCACTATGCTCATTTTGAATATAGAAATTCTATTCAATAAGTACATACCATGGTACTCTGCAAAATCGATTTAATGTAAAAGCACCTTTGAAAATTGGGTAAATGTATTCTCCAGACCACTCACGCTCACCACAATTTGTCTGTAATATAGGATTTGCTTCTGCTTCAAATGCATCAAGACTATGATATATTTAATAAAAATTGGATTGAAAATTTTATGTCAACTTACTAAAATCAATATAATTTTATATTCAAATAAAATTGCAAGGACAACATTCAGAATAAGATAATTGTATTAAAAAACTTACTAATACCCAGTTGCACGTTCAACCCAAAAAATAACTCGGTTCCAATCACTTTTTTCATATGAAAAGTTGCTATTATATACAGGCAGACTTAACGATCTTAAGTTTATCCATCTCTTACAAGCTTCCTCAAGATTTATTGTATCTTTCTATTAAATAAAAACATTTTAGAATTTTAATCAAATTCAATTAAAAATAATTTTAAACATATATATACATTGTCTTTTGATCCAAATAGATGGTCCAAAATGGTATCAATTTCTCTATAATAGTTGATGTTTCTAAAAAATTTTGGTTTATCTTTTAGAAGATCTTGCCATGCTTGTTGATTAAACTCTTGTTTAATGTTTGAAAGTGAAATTGATAATGTATTTGATAAGTCTAAAATATAACTATGAGCCAAGCTGTAAAAAAAAATAGCTAAATTAAAAAATTGAAATTATACATAATGGCATAGTCTAACAAAAAAATTATATTTACTTGTATTTTTTAGTGGTTGGTTTTTTACAGTATTTTTCTAATAAATCAATCAAATCAATTTTATTTTCTTCTATATTAACTAATAATTCAGACAATGGTGGTGTTGTGATTTTTGTCTGTGGATTTTCCTCTAGTTCATCCTATGAGTTAGAAATTGGTTATTAAAAAACAATTAGTCTTATCCTTCAAAGAGAAGATAATTTACTAATTACTTCATCGTTTTCGGAAAGGTTTTTTTTATGTGGATGAGCTTCCAAATTTTGGACACTGTTTATACACGTCAAAAAAAATGTGTTTTCTTTTTTGATTGAACTAGAGTGACGACGAGTGGCAACCACCACCATTCTTAAAACACTTACCCTTTTGCAGTCACTTCCCAGTTATTTTCTTTATTTTTTCTTTTATTTTTTCTTTTATTTTTTATTGAATGCATTTCAAAAAGAATTGTTTTTCCAAAAAAAAAAAAAAAAATTCAAAAATCTGTGAACACCAAATGCCAATAATATGTTTAACACATGAAATTTTTTTTTTTTTTTTTTTGGTAAACAATTTATTTTTCAAAGATAACAAAATGTGAGTCTCCTAAAGAAGAAGTGTTAATAATAGAGGTACTTTTTTTTTATTTGTATTGATATGTATGTCTTTTTTAGTTTATAAATGTTTTAATTGGAATCAAAAACGCGGAGCAGATCTTGCTGGGTAATTATTAGATCCTTGTCAAGATGATAACAAATGAACAATTGGTATTTTGCTTTTTATAATTGTTAATAATAATATTATTTAAATAATAATAAAATTAGAAGTCAAGGCAGCATACTGACTGTCACAGAAGAATCAATTCAAGTATGCAATGTTTGATTATCAGAAATTAGCAGATGTTGAAGCATGCACACCACCTTGAACACTTTACAGTCATTCACTCATTCCTCATGTACACAAGGCTAACCTGATCATGGCTCTCCTGAGATATGATGATGCAACTGAATTCCAGGGGGGTGTATGTAAGGTTGTGGGAGAAACTCCTCCAGAAATCAATTGACAGAGTTTCGACAGGTTACACATTAATTGTTTATTAGAGTTTTGGCAGAGTTTCACATTTGGGGTTTTTGCCAATCATCAGAGTTTTGACAGGTTACACATTAATTGTTCATTAGTTTCGACAGAGTTTCGACAGTCATTAAGAGGTTTCGCCCACAACCTTAGGTGTATGGCCCTGGGGTTTACCGAGACTGCATCAATCATCAATGACGTTTTCACTAATCTTCCCTCACAGCACCCTGACTGCTGCCCATGTTAGCTGAAAAGTTTCCTGCAATGATCTTACCTCTAGGGTAAGGATGGCTCTGTGACCATGTCACAACTCTGGAGTAATATTAAGAAAATCAGCAACTCGTTTCAAGCATTTGCAATTCAGAGTGGGATTGGTGACCTTGAAATTGCATTTAGGCTCTGATGTTGAGAGGAAAGCTGTAAAATAAAATGGTTCAGATTTGTTTGGTATGTTTTGTACAAATTAATCATTTTTCCAAGTTCTCATTTTTGTTTGACCAACTGAATTTGTTATTTAAATGGGGGTAGGGTTGTTGGTGAGTAGGCATGCCGCCAACAAGACAGCAACCCAGGACTCAAAACTGAATTCAGGGAAAATCCAAAAAAGCAACTCCCCAAGTTGCAGACACCAACTTTATTCTAGAGAGGGATATAACACAAAGCAACCATCACACAAATGCTGGTCCTCATCAGTAATCAATGTCCATATGGTAACAGCCAAGGCTGCTTTGAGGGGAAAATAAGAGAAATTTTGTCCAAAGCCTTCCAACATGTACGTGGCCTCACCTGTGGAAAAAAATTCCTTAGATATGAGGCGTGTGAAAGCACCTTAATGCATGTTTGTGATAGGAAATTTTACTAAAATCTGACACCTATGATCAACATCAGATTTATTATTCATGAGCAACCATGATTGATAATCAGGAAGAGTAATTTATTATTCTGAATCCCAGAGATCTGGGTAGACACACATTATTAAAAGTTCATTTATGCATGGCCTTGGTGTTATTACTATCTGGGTGATGCAATTGTTTATTATGTCAATGATGATATCAAATGTATTGAATAATCATTGTGATGAATATGAGGACAAAGGAATTCACACATGAGGAAAGTATTAAATAGCAATATCATGTTTATTTATTTATTTTTTATTTTAACCAAGATACATAATTATATAATTAGATTGAAAAAAATACAAGTAAAAAATTGCAAGAGTGATTGTATGGAAATCCAAGACTGGACCAATCACACCATTACATGTTCAAGGCCAATCAAGCAATTATTTGAATACATTGGTACACTTTTGTAATCTTATTGAAGGGGATAGGTTTGTATGCAATTTAAATTCTTTTGTGTTAATTTAGAATCACATCTTTCTTTTGCTCTTGTAGGTAGCATTTTACAAATCAAGTTATTTACCTTAATGTAATAATCATTATATCAAATTAATTTGTAACTTAGGATTTCAAAAATTGGTATAATTGTTTTACAATAATAATATTTTCTATGTTTATACAATGTGTTGGAAAAATTCATTGGTAAAGGCAATCAATTTTTTATTAACTTGTTATTGATGAAGTAAAATATTACAAATATTCAT